TGAAAGGGAAGGTGTACGGACAGTGGTAAGGCCTGCGATGCTATACGGCAGCGAGTGCTGGCCCCTGAACAAGAATCACGAAAGGCAGCTTCACTCCGCTGAAATGAGGATGCTGAGATGGGCCTGCGGCTGGACGCGACTGGACAGGGTCAGAAACGAGGATGTCAGAGCGGTCATGCAGACTGCCCCTGTCCAGCTGAAGGTGAGGGAACAGCGACTGCGATGGTATGGGCATGTGCTAAGGAGGCCACAGGACCACCCGATAAGGAAAGCGATGGACTTCGAAGCGCAAGGCAAGCGACCGCGAGGAGCCCCAAAGAAGAGGTGGAAAGACGTAATCAAGAAGGACCTAAGTGAAGTCATGGCCACAGCAGAAGATGCCCTGGACAGAGCAAAGTGGCGACGACTGACAAAGACAGCGGACCCTGCGACTGCGCGGGACTAACGCTAGGGAGAAGAAGAAGAAGAGGAAGACTTAAATAGACTGACTGCCAAACAGACGAAGCGTTTCAAGTGAATAGGACTGACAGGTTTGGACGTGGCCAAAGATTAGCATAGCTTTTGGAGATAGCTAGGCATAAATGTTTTCCATTCCGAAAAAGGCAGCTAGGATAATTATGTATCCACTAGAGTTCCGCGTGAACAAAAAGGGAGTAAGAATGACGTCATATAAATGATTTCAATCCTTGGTTCCAAAATGGCACATGGTAGCCTATGTTTAGCAACAAACTCCTGCTACGAACTAGTGTCATGTACTATGTGCGTGACATCACTGGATTCATTCAGATGGTGGATCAAATGGAGAATCGTGTATATGTGCAGATGGAACACGACGCACAAACGGCATCAGATCGCCAGTTTTTGTTCGTTTGTCAACTAGCTGGCACTAAAGCAAATGAGTCTAGGTAAATTGCTGGAAGATTTCCCCACTATAATCAAGTATTTCTTATTTATTTTTGCAGCATTCGGCGTCACCCCAGCACTCTATCTCGTGTTTCGGACGGCTATGCAATGGCTACTGAAGCAGATAAACCGACACAATTTCAAATACGGAGTAATATACAACCGGTTAACGGGGTAGGTTCCTCGTATGAGTGCTCAGACATTCTATACGCATTACATATAAAAACATCCCAGCATCCCGCGAGTGTCATAATCGACTGTACTTTGCCGATTCTCGCACGCTTAGGCGACTTCCGCTCTGGGCTTGTACTCGACGCTGCGTGCTGTACGGATTAAAAAAAGTTCCATTCGTAGCACATGAATCTTTTTAAATAAGCACATCACATAAACATGTATTACATGTGTATTTGAAGAGTCGAGTCAATTATTATGACATGGTAAAGGTGGCAAGTTAATCAGAAGCTTTGTAGAGAGTAGAATACGGACTCCTCGTAGTTCACGAGTAGCTCTCCTCAGATCGTAGCCGATCAGTGAGCGTGAAAGGGATCTCACGCGTGTGGGTGCTATCTTAAAGCAACAGTTCAGGAACGCT